GAATCCCTCCTCCATATACAGTAGGGGAAAAAACACACGGGACAGCAGATTCCCTTTGAATCTTAGTCCCAGCAGCAAAGGAAGAATTCTATATAGACTTGTAAAACCCTCTTGTGAATTCCATGCTGTCTTCTGGCAAGCTTCTTTACCTGCCTCGCCTCTGACCCTGCCCCTCCCTCCTGGCCTGGCCAGCGCCTCCTCCGCCCATTCTTAGCAAGTATGGGGTCTACTCTGATCCGATTTTTCCACAGTGTATTTCAACATATCTTTACTCCTTTTTTCAGCAATATAATTATCTTCATGAGTTCCGGGATAAATTGGCTGCCTATCTATCATCAAGAGATTCACTATCAAGATCCGTCTCGAGATAATGAAGATGTCAGATATATGATGACTACACATGAAGTTTCCAAGTTCTCTGGCATAATTTGTATTGAAACAAAACCACTAGTGCTACCATCCCGAATATAAGTGTTATGTGCAGATACTCTGAAAGCTTTGAGTCATGAATTCGCTGTTACAGCACAGCAGAGGGCAGCAGAGTTGCTATTCAGTTGTCTTTCTAGAAATGCACTCGCTGTTCTAGCTTACCTAGAGGCCAGCGGGGAATGGGAGATGAGAGATACTGGGGAGTCATTGTTTGCCACTCTTTGGCCTCCTCTGACTGTCACTAGCAGGCATGTGACACAGTAAGAAGAATAAGTTCTGTATGCACACCCACACTACATTTAACGCGTGTATTTGTGTGGGCACAATCACGACAGCGTGCGTGTGGTCAGAGGACAAGGTGCCGTTCTTTCTTCACATGGGTCCCAAGTTCAAACTCAGACCGTCAGGATCGGCGGCAAGTGTTTTTATTCACTGAGCCACCTCTCATTTTAAAAAACTGTTATCACCCTCCTCAGTTGCTTTTTCTACTTCACTGCTTACAAAACTAATAAGGCACTCTTGAGTTTGAGTCAACTCCTCCCCAGAGCACCACTGCACCCCACCACCATGGGGACAGCCTAGTGCTTCCATGCACAACTAAGAGTTTCCTTCTTTTAAGTTTTTGAGACAGTCTCTTACTGTGTCAGCCAGGCTGATCTCAAATTCATATTCACCTGCCTCTGCCTCCCCCGTGCTGGGATTAAAGGCATGCACCACCATAACCAACCAGCTTCTAGAACTTAAGATTCTTATAAAAAAAAAATACTGAGAAAGACGGAAGAATCATATACCACGAGTAGCAAATGTTTAAGATCACAGTACCTGAAAATTTTAGACAGTCACTAGAGTTGACATTAGCAAATCTCTGTGTGTGGGCATGTGTATGAAGAACAGTTTCCTCAGGACCTGTCCTGTCCACCATGCTTTCGGGGACAGGGTCTCTCATTTTCTAGACCTTGCCAAGTAGACTAGACTGTCAGTGAGCCCCAGGACTCTCCTGCCTCCATCATCCCAGCACTGGGAACTGGGATTATAAGTATAAACCAGATTCTTGCGTAGGTATTGAGGACCAAGCACAGGTTATGCTCACAGGGCAAGCACTATCAACAGGACTACAACTCCAGCCACCGCCAACTCCTACAGACAATCCCTCCAATATAACACTTATTCTGGTACTCAGTGTAGGAAAAACATTTCATATTCAAATAATCTAATAATTAATTGAGTGTTCAAAGTATGTATTTGTCAGTTCCCATTGCAAGTGCTTGACTAAACCATTTTAACATCAAGCATACAGGAAAATTTAATTATCCAAATGAGGAAACATGAGTATTAGTCCTGAAATATACTTGTGTAGTGACGTTTAAAAACATGAAATGCCAGATGGGCGGCAGTGGTGTACATCTTTAATCCCAGCACTCAGGAAGCAAAGACAGGCAGATCTCAGTGAATTCGAGGCCAGCGATGTCTACAAAGTGAGTTCCAGGACAGCCAAGGCTGTTACACGTGAAATCCTGTTTTGAAAAAAACAAAAAAGTGCAATGCCAACATTCTAGGGAATGTTATTTTTTCTGCCCAAAGTGTATGATCTATCTAAAAGCAATGGGGCACAAATGAAGACAGTCTAGGGTCCTAGTCTTGTGCATACCAAAGCTAGCTGCATTTGAAATCAGCACAGGATTATACCAACTCAACCACTACCCACCAACTACACAAGGAGCATTTGAGACAGTTTTTATTAAATATACAAAAGCAAAACAAGCTCTAAGGACTAAGGGAGGGTTACATGTTAAGTTTTCTTTGGACAATGGTACCACACCATCAAACATAGGCTACATGGCTAACTACATTTCATGTTTTTCTTAGTTTTCGGGTCTACTCAGTCATCAATCCATTGAAGAAACTCTCATTCCCAGAATACATAAGCACAACCAAACAAATCTAAGTATTGAGAAAAAGCACTGTATAATAGTTAATACTGACATCTAGGAGATATCATTCTACATGTCAAGACGCTCAAGTCTTCTATAATGAGTATCAAGAAAATGAATGCAGTGCAAAACCTCTCTACCTCAGATTCACTGCCTCGTGGTTAGTAAACGGAATAGGCAGCTATTACACACTCCTTTCAGACACTAGCTAGAGATTTCTGAATTTTCCACAGAAAATGGCTCTGGGAAAGTCAACAAATCCAGCGACAGAACATCCTTTTCTCTAGGAACCACCTTGGAAGATTCATTCAGAACCATCTCCTAGGTTATAATGCTAATATCAGACACATTAACTGCTCATCTGGTCGCAAATCAACTGGTTTGAGTAAAAGAGCTTAAAGTCACTTGAAACTAACATTACTAACTTCCAGCAAGGATGACCATTTATGAACAAGGCTAGGCAATGAAGCAATACCTTTCTTTCCCCTCTAAAATATTTTTTCTCATGAAAATTTCTGACTTGCAACTGACTAAGCTATATATTTGTGGAATTAAGTGACAAATCGCTGCATATACATACTTTTTAATATAGATCATTTGAATGGGCTAGATTAAGTTCTGTAGTCACACTTAACAATGAGAGCTTACCCTGCACGGAGAGATACATAGAAATCACTAGTTACTATCCAGTAATTATATTCTAGGAACACTATTAATAAAAGCACAACTCGATGTCCTTTCTATACATTAGACACACCTTCACAATGTATGGAGCTAGGACACAAAGGTGACCTCCATGCTAGCTCCTAGCTGGAGAAGAGACACATCTTGCCAATGGCCTGTCCTTTGTTTCCTAGTGAGACTGTTACTCAACATACAAACCTGAATGAAAGGCCAGACAATTCATCGCATATAATGAAACCAGTTCCTAATACTCAAATGCAAGTTAAAAGTGGCTTACGGGGCCAGGCGGTGGTGGCACATGCCTTTAATCCCAGCACTCGAGGTGGAGGTGAGTTCACGACCAGCCTGATCTACAAGAGTTCGTTCCAGGCCAGCCTCCAAAGCCACAGAGAAACCCTGTCTCCAAACACCCCCCCCCCCAAAAAAAGGTGGCTTATGGAGTCATTTCCTGTCACTTTCCTGTTGGCATAATACAGCACTACTCAACAGTCACTGCTAAGCAGGCATTTGTTGTGGAAGGCTTCTAACTCAGAAGAATCTACAGCAAGAAACAGTTGCTGCTATAGATGGTACTACACGGTTCCACTAGATGCAATGAAGCAGGCACAGATAGGGAATGACTTCTGAATGTAACTGGTGATGACGAGATTGCAAGAAAGCATGATGTGAGCATCTGAACAACTGCAAAAGATTACAAGTCACACTCACTACCTTGGCTGAGCCAGGAAGACAGAAGCTAGACCAGAGCCAATCCCAACAGGTTGACCTACAGAACAAATCAGAACAAAGAAAACAACCAGTGGGATTCCGTCTTCTGCTTTCTCCTTGTAAGAAACTACTGCCGGGCGGTGGTGGCGCACGCCTTTAATCCCAGCACTCGGGAGGCAGAGGCAGGCGGATCTCTGTGAGTTCGAGGCCGGGCTGGACTGACAGCCTCCAAAACAGTACAGAGAAACCCTGTCTTGTAAAAACAAAAACAAAAAACAAACAAACAAACAAAAAATAAGAATCTACTTCCAGAAAACACTAAGAAGGCAAGTGAGACTGTCTAATCACAACTGTATCATCTGCATGCTAAAGTCTACGAGTGACATGGTGAACCTCACTGCTCAAACTATCTGATTTGGGGAGAAAAACCAATGAAATCTCAACTAATTCTAAAGAGAATCCAAAATAAGAGGAAGTTTCTTAAAAGTTAAAGAATAATGTCTATCCCTGTAATTTAACCTCGGCCAGATCTCTCGTGTCAGTAGTCCTTGTGAGCAAGAAAGGAAAATGAGAAGGGGCTGTGGCATAATTAGAAGGTTTAGAAACAAAATGACTGAGGGTGCCATACTCTAAATAACCCTGAGTCTTCAACGTCCAGCAAGTGCTCGATAATTTCCTGCACAGAGGAGTCAGTCCCCAGCAGGTGCTCTGCAGACTGCAAGTTAGTCTGTAAGGCCTTCTTCGCAAAACGGCCTCCTCATACTGGTTCTCCATTCCCTTCTTACACCTCTATCTTACCACCTATCCCAACGGCAGCATCTCCCCCACACTCAGGAAGGTTATCCTGCACTAAAGAAAGTACAAAGTCTCCTTGGAGTAAACAGCAGACACATCCACACACTGCCGTGGCCATTATGAATCTCCACAAATGAGTTGTCTTTTATCATTTGCTGAAGAAACTTCTAAACAGTACTTCCAATTGCCTACCCCCTCATTCTAAGAATGCTTATGGAAAACCAGACATTCAAGACTTTACACACCCCAATAACTTGAGAATCAAGTGTGTGCCTGCAACAGGGAAAGACCAGTCCCAAATGCTAAACAGTGATGCTAACAATCCGTTCAAAATTTTTAATGATTTTCTTAACTTCGTAAAATGACAACATTATGTCTTTTATTATGATGGGCTGAGTATGAGAAATAGCTGTCTGTGATCTTTAAACAACACACTGGAAACTGGAAAGGATCTTCATTTCAGAGTTTTATTGTGTTGCACTGAAGGAACAGCAGGGTGGTTACACAGTTCTCTCGTTCATTTTTGAAAATCTAAAGTACTTGCAAATTCTTAAGAATACCTTGACCACTGGATTAGGACAGTAAGCATAATATAGCCAATTTCTTAGTAAATAATGTCTTACAAATAAAAACACATTTAAAATAGCTTTAAATGCATTCTTTACAGGTAATTCAACATATGCTTATATCACTTATGCTTAAGAATTAAAGCAAGTGTACTGATTACTCTGATGGGAAGGAGGGAAATCCCTCTCTCATGCAATACATAGGGATAATATTCAAGTCGACAGGGGAAGAAATCCCACTCTTCTTATTGTCGTGTCCATACACAATCATCTACAGTGATAAGTGGGGAAACCTACAATGCTTCCCACAAGTCACATACACATTTTCAGTTCACCAGAAGCACCTCGTATCTACAGCTAATTTATATTGAGCCCTCTAAACAAAACTCCCAACGGACTCAGGGCAGTCAGTAATTAATGCAATCACTCGGAGGGGTATGGCTGTTCCTTAAGAGTGCAAGTTCAACCTGTCAACACCAGAGGTAATCATTTTATATTAATTTATACGTAATTCCATTTAGAGTCTTTATCCAAGTATAACATATGAAAACAGTCTTTCCACAAGCAAAAAATGTGGAAACATTTTAAAAAATAAGGAGTCATTTTTTTTTTAAAGTAACTGATCAGATTCCGTAGGCTACTCTTGGAAACAGGACCTTGCTGGATAGAATCCCTTCATTAGAGGCGGTTTGCATGCACTTAACTGGACCGATTCTTCTGCGTTGTTCTATGAGCTCACCAAAACATAGATCATGCTGAAATGAAGAGAGAAGCTGTTAATTCAGACACTCCTAATCACAAGAACTAGGAATACAAAGAACTGAGCCTACTCTATACGGGCTGCTCATGCATGGCATCAGAGTACCACAGAAAAGACCACTCAAGTCCAGAGTGTGATCTCAAGTTACGTTTATGGACTTTTGCCTGTTGCCCTCTAGTTCTTTTCCAATTGTAGCACGCAGCACGATGCAACTGAGCCCTCAGTGAGGACCAGAGCTTAGAGAAGCAATCCACACAGCATCTCTCTGGAGCAGCATCGCAGGAAGTGTCTGGAGGGCTGGCTCAGAGCTGCGGCTGTGAGTCCTTCACAGGCATGACCTCACGCAGCCCTCCAAGCGCTCTCATTTTATGCAAGACAATGGTCAAGGGAGGAATGCTCCAGTTAGAGCCTAGAACAACTCTTACGCAACAGAAATTGGGATAGCAGAAAGGTGGGGGGGGGGCGGGGAGGGCAGTAGCTATGTGATTTGTGATTTAGGCTCACGGAGTGCCAAGGGCAATGACATTACAAAAGGCACAGGGAGGAGCAGCCAGGGGAGGGGAAACATGATCAAAGCACAGTGTGTGAAAGTCTCAGAAAGCAAGTAAAACATTAAAAAAGAAGAAAGAGAGGCACTGTGGCTGGTGCAGAATGTACATTCTTATCTCCAAACAGACTAGGAGATGAGCCGCCGTGGACAGTTTTAAAACAAAGCGTCCTGGCGAACGTCCCCATCCCTGTGCATCCCAATGCAGCTGTTTGCTCGTGCTTTCTCTTCCTGCAAGTGTGTGTTAAATGCAGTCCCCAAAGTCAGCTAAAGAAACTTAACAACACGAGGCCTTGGTGGCGCACGCCTTTAATCCTATCATTTGGGAGGCAGAGGCAGGTGGATCTCTGAGTCTGAGGCCAGCCTGGTCTACAGACTGAGTTACAGGACAGCTAGGACTACACAGAAAAACCCTGTTTCAAAAAAACAAAATTAAATTAAAAAAAAAAGGAAGTTGAAAGTCAGCAAGAAATTGGAAAACAGATGGATTCACCGTTCAGGTTCTAATCATAGCTAGAGATGATGCAGCAGCAGAGGCGAGGGTCCCACCACAAAGACGGAGTCTAGTCACTATACTTGTGCAACATCTCCAGGTGCACGTAGGACGGCCTCAACACAACCTAACACTTCATTCGCCCTGCTCATAAATGGGAACTTAAATGATATAGAAACAAATGTGAAGAGAAGCTTAAGAGGAGACAAATATAAATTAACAGAAGCTTAATTATTTCACCTTAAAATAGCTCAGTTTTAATATTTGTATATTCCTATGTATTTGGGTGTTTGCCTGCATGTCTGTCTGTGTGTCCCTTGTGTATAGTCCCTCAGAGTCTGAAGAGGGTGTTGACAGACCTGGGCTTACACATGGCGTTACAAGTGTGAGCTCTATGTGGTTTCACACTCACCCGTACAGGTAGTAAAAAAAGGCTAGAAGGTAAAAAGCTAGCTTGCACCACCCTTCCTTCTGACAGTAGGCTAGGATGTCCGCGTTCATGATGGTCGTCGGGTCGTAGAGTCCAGGGCCGCTCATCACCGGTCTGCTCATGTACCTGCAATAAACACAGCTATTACGGGCGGGGAGGGAGCAGCGCTCCACACACAGGCACACCTGTGCTCTCGGGCCCAATTCCCTATTTACCATCTAAAGCTAGAACTGTAGATCCTGAAGAACAAGAACGGGACAGTTAGGCCTGCTCTCTGGGGTTTCAGAAAGCCAGGGAAAATGGAGTAACTGCAAAAGAGAAGTGTTTGCTTTCTCTCGCTTTGAAGACCTGCTTTTAGTTTATGTGCTGACTAACTTGCCTGTGTGTGCATCTGCACCATGTGTAGGGTATGCTCGTCCACAGAGCCAGAAGAGGCTGTCAGATGCTCTGGGACACAGTGGAGACAGCGAGGGCCACCGGGTAGTCTCCTGGAAGAGCAGCTGGTGTTACAGCGCGGAGACGCCTCTTCAGCCCTGACTGTTTCCTTCAGCGCTTTATCTCCACATAGGCTCTCACTCCGGGAGGGAGCAGGCCCCTACCCAGAGGCAGCTGCTGCTTCATCCACTCGTGCTCTGCACCCCTTTCTACCTCTAACCGTGAGCTCAGTCCTTCTGAAAAACTCCATTCAGCTACAGACACAACAGCACTTTCCACCCAAATATTCTTAAAGTGAGGTACGAGATTCTGACATGCCCATTTAAAACAAAACCTTTAACTTATGGGGAATGCGAGGAGGAAAAAACTCTACTTAGGTCAGGCATTAACTATATCAGCTTTAAAAAAAAAAAAGGATGGTTGGAATGTAAAATTAAATTAAAAAAATAAATTAAAAAACTATATAAGCTTATGGAATCTGGTTTTCATCTATAAAATAGCTAAATGCCTTAAAAATTATAAAAGAAATGAGGGGCTGGAGAGATGGTTCAGTGGTTAAGAGCACTGACTGTTCTTCTAGAGGACTCAGGTTCAATTCCCAGCACCGGCATGGCAGTCCAAAACTGTCTATAACTCCAGTTTCAGGAATCTGACACCTTCACACCAATGCACATAAAATAAATAAGTTAAATAAATTTTTTAAAAAATAAATGAAAACTTATAGTAGGAAAAAGACAAATACTGCACATTTTTTGGTGTGTATGGCATTTAAAATGGGCAAAACTAATCTTAGCTGATGAAGGTCTGTGGGAAACAACTTGATACTGGGCTCAGAAAACTCTTCTGAGGGCGGGAAGTGCGTGTCTTCACCTGTGCGTGTGCAAGACGACTCACTTACTTGTACCCGGCAGACTGGTGTGCTGTCACAGCTCCTCTGAGGACTAGGGGCAAGCACCGCAAGGGCACTGAGAGTCACCTGCTTAGCAACCTGAGTGGGATCAATGCTAAACAACCCTGGATCTTCATCCAGACATACAGTACCAAACACACAGCATCAACCTCCGCAAAATCAAACTTTAACTAGGAAAACATTTTAAGGGTATTTAAGTATTACCTCCAAATGTGATATGCCAAAAGGGGCATATTGAGACCCAGTGTGAGCCACTCTGCTGCACAAAGAAACATGACACAGAAGAAAGCATGGATGAGGTACTCTGGCAGTACAAGCTGAAAGAAAAACATAAGCCATTATCACAGCGCCTGGCTTGTCAGCCGCTTATCTGGAAAGTAAGTGGCAACCAAGTTTCCATTAAAAAAAAAACACTGTTTTCTTAGAACTGGAAATCAAAGATGCTACTGAGTATTGCATCTCCATATTTGACTTCTTACCAAAAGTATGATTATAAGCAAACTGGCCAAAAGATATGAAGCTTTCACTATAACAGTAAGACAGAGAACTTTAAAACTCATAGAGCTGCAAGTATAATTGCAATTACTAACCCAGATTGTCTGATTGCTTGTCAATCAAGTAGAATGCTTTTATTTCCATCATTCAGCAATAAAAATATAAAGATGAAATAACCTGAGCACATGCAACATAAAAAAAATTCACAAAACAAACTCCCATTTTTAAGTTTATGTTAGTGTTTTTAAGCCTTTAACGAAACCAGGATGCTACATGTACAATATTTAGCAAGTCACATCACTTTCCCACAAGTTGCTCAATGGAAAGCCAACCAGCCACCATCTCAGCACAGTTGGGGACAACACTGAGGCACACAATGCAAGAGGCACACTTTCTGCAATGTAGGAGGGAAAAGACGCAATTCTTAACTAAGAAAAAAATTGCCAGGTTCCAGAGTTCCCATTATTAGCCTTTGTGTTCCCTAGTGCCTATCAACAAGATGCTATATGGCAGAAGACCAGTAGAACCTCAGACCCCAAAAAGAAAATAAGCCTTTTCATAAGTAGTAATGAGGAAAAATTAGTTCAAACGACATGCACTTATAAAATGACCAAGACTTAATGATTTGTCTTGAATCATTTTTATCCTAAATGGTTCAATCTAATGAGTTATTAAATATCAAAACTATCTGAAGCCAATTCTAGCCCAAACTCCTAAGTCCCAGCTGTAAAGTCCAAGTTATCAACTGGCTTTACCCTAGGTTATGAGGCAGGTCCTTCCTGTGTAAGCCGTGCTGCAGGACTAAAATTACCCTGCATACTTAAGTCCATCTTCTAATACTCTCTACTTTTTCCAGCTCAAAGCCATATGGTGAACTAACTTTGCCCCATGCTAAAAATCACACCCAGGGCCACAGGTTCTGAGCCGCACTCTTCCACTGAGCTACATCCCCAGTCCCATCATCAGATTTTTAATGAACATTATTTTAAATAAAATCCTAGTAGAGCCAATTAATCTAAGTCACTAACCAGATATTTTCTACAAATTTAAGCAATATAAGTAACTAATATAAGCTCCATATATGCAAGCATGCATATTCGTGTATGTGTATTGATTTATTTCCATACACGAGAAACTGTCAAAGGCCATCTTTGAAACTCAGTAGCTACAACCAGAATAGATCAGGAAAAGCGTGCAGGACAAGCTCCTCTGCAACTGTTTTCATAACAGCAGTCTAACAAGCTTACTGACAAGCCTACTGTCAGCCCTAAAGGCAGAGCCCTAACCAAAGTGAGGACTTTGCAACTACACTGGACAGAGAGGACACGGGGCTGGAATCACAGGCCCCATGGCTCCTCCTCTCATTAGACACAATGTTGGCCCTGCACTCCACCTGCAACTTCTCCTCATCCCAGGGAGAACCAAACCGCACTGTGGCTCCTCAGAAACGTCTACTACGTACTTCTCACAAAAATCAGAGCTTCCAGCCATTCAATTACCACAAAACTCAGTCTATTTACAACCCAAAGCTCATATTAAGACTAGTATCAAAGAAAGAAAAAAAAAAGCCTCATGCGAACACGGCTGAAATTAGGACTGAAACATGTAGAACTCTATTCGCTTGTGAAGTTTACATTTTTAAAAAGAATACTTGTCTTCCCCCATACTTTGGCAGAACTGTCAAAACAAATCTAAATAGGGAAAACTGTCAGATGCACTGCTGTTCAGCCAATGATCGGCACCCTAGCCAAGCACAGCTCATGGGACTAGAGCGATGGCCTTCCCCTCCTGGAGCTGCAGGCGTCCAAACGCATGTCTTTTCTCTGTGTGAATTTCTTTCCATTGAAAAAAGTCAGAAAACACACACTATACTCTATGGTGAAATTTATCCCTCTTAAGGTTAAAATAAAGTCAGGCTGTCTAGCTTGTATCTGTGGTCTCTGCTTAACCTCTGACCTGAGCCTTGGTCAAAGCACCTGGACCTCATAAAGCAACTCAATCAACTGTCCTACTCATGAGAGCAGCTACTCACCTACCTGAACTCTTGAAAACCTCCAGGCAAATGCTTCTGTGCAGAGCCTAACACCCGGGGAAGTGTTCATTTGACTCTAGCTAGTAACCTCATCATCTGAATAGCTAAAATAATAAACTGCCCTTAGCACAAAGTACCATTAGCAAACCAAAAGAGATCCCAGCTTCCTGACTTCCTGACAACTAGTTTGAACGACTGAGGCAAAGATGTTCTACAATGCACACCTGTCACTTTCCAACCAGAAAGCGCCCTCTCGCTTTCTACTTCCTACAAGAAAGGGAGTCAGTAAATTAAAACTTGGGGTTGTACCTACACAGAGCCTTACTGTAAACGTTCTCTACGAAAAAACTGGAGACCTATACACCACTCACATTTACCTGGGGAACAAGGAGAAAGCAGAAACTGGCTTTTCCAGGTAACAGCCTGGGAATGCAACTCTGCTGCTCTCCTGCTGTCTTGAAGCAGCCTTGAGGGGTAGCCCTGCTTCCTACTGTTTGCCTGTGCCTTATCACAAGCAACTCTTCAGTTTCTGACCAATTAGGCCAAATCAAACCTACAGTCTAGAGAAGAATTTTCCTTCAGATACCAAGTATGTATCTAGACTCAACCCAAAACACCACAGAGTCACATTATCAATAAATCTGCCATGGGAAATTGTTTTAGAAATCAGAGGCAGGTACACTAGACTAGGAATAACCACGTAGACATTTGTATATAAACTGCTAGCTACAAAATTCTGGCATCTTGAGGCCAAAGCACAGATCACCACAAACAAGATTCTGTGATCCAAGCACAGAGCTGAAACAAGGCTGGAACAGCAACTGCACTAACCCATTTGTCCCAGCAGACACATAACCAGAGATGAAACGAGATATGGCAGCTAGGTCCATACCAGAGTCCATGTGTCCAAGTCACAGCCTGAGAATAACTTCCCCACGACTAAAGTCATCTTATATTGGCCACCTTTCAAATGCTGCGCTAAATAATTTAATAGAGACGTGCCTATGGCTATAAGAAAAAAATGCATAAGCATTTAACAGCTTTCCCTACTTGACTGGGCCAGCAAGCAAACATTTGCATAAAATATGAAGTTTCATGAAATCATAACCCTCAACAGGCGTATGAACAAGCACACTGAGCAGAACAATACGGATACAAATGCCCTAGCCCTCCCCGCGAAATGATGTGGCATTAAAACATTCAACTTTTATAAAAAGCAGTACACACCTTTAGTGCAATTTTGACTCTTTTAATCTTTTTGAGCTTTTCAACTGTCTTTGGCCGACAATGTAAAAAGCAGATTGGAAGAATGTTAGTATGACAGCTGACAAGATCACCAGCAGATTAACAACAGAACAGTTGAGTGTGACAGGAAGAGGGCTCTTTATTCTGCCTACTTCAAAAACATTCAGAGACAGCATGCTACCGAGAATACTGGCCATTTTCAAGTTATATCAAGTTAAAGGCAATTAGGTTTTTGAAATCTACAGATAAATGTTATGTCATAACTTACAGGGTTCAGGGTATTACACTGGTCTATAGGGTTCTTGTAATCGGTCTTCAGCTCATCAAACGCTATGATCTAAAATAAAATGACAATAGTTAGGACGGCTCACTTTAATATAAAGCAGCAACAAGCCTGCCCAACCATCAGAACATTGCTGAATAAAACAAAAGTGTAGTATTTCAGCACAATTTACACAAAGACTCAAATGTGCTAAAAAGAACAAGAATCAAAGACCTGCAAACATGTCATTATGGCTACAATGATCTGAGCCCACTCTGTGATCTGAAATTTCAGTTTACCCAATGCTTCCAGTCGTTTTCTCCATGTGATATGACTTTCCGTGCTTACATAGTTATTTATTAGAAGTTTTCCTCATCCTGAAAACCCCTCTTCCCGTAACACTCCTTCTGTAGCTGTTCCAAGGGGGTAGAAAGTGCTGTGCCCGCATCTCTCTCTGACCCTGCAGTACGGCATCTCTCACCCTGGAACACAGGTGCGTCTGCCCCAGTGGACTGTGTGGGGCTCGGGGAGAAAGACCATTTTTAATTATGTGTGCAACCCTCTCCCTTGGCACAGTGTTCAGGGACTCTAGAATGAACTCAATTCAATTTATTCCCAATCACATACATTGCTAAGGCGCTTTTTGCCCATGTTTCTAAGAGAACACGGCTTTAACCTAAATGTCTTAACACCTTACCCAGAACTGCAGAGTTAAACGCACAAACAAAACCGGGGATCCGCAGCACTCGGGCACTAACTCACGCGTCAGAGGGCAGATCAGAAGGGTCGAGGACCCGTTTTGTCGGTGCCACACAGGTCACACCTGCCTCTCATCCTCAGATGCGTATGGGCTACATCCTACCATCAGTGGTCAACGGTACATTGTCTAGCTTTCGCTGTGCTCACTTTTCAGTTAAAGTTCTTAGTCTCAAAAGAGCACAGGTTTTTCTTAATCTCCAGACATGTATAAAATACCCTAACCTTCTGTAATAAAAACTCGAACAGGAATAGGAAGAAAAAATAACGAAAGCATTAAAAATGCAATATCCAAGGAAGCCAGCAGTTTGAGAGGAGGAGGGGCATGGGAGGAGCTGGAGGAAGGGGAAAAATGGAGGGAAATGATATAAATACATTTTAATTTTAAAAATGTAAAAAAAATAATTATTTAAAAAACTAAAATTACCTAAAATTCACAGGCAAATGGACAGAACTAGGAAAAAACTATTCTGAGTAAAGTAACCCAAAACCAGAAAGACAGATATAGCATGTACTCACTCATAAGTGGATACCAAACATACAGCAAAAGATACCCAGCCTACAATCCACAACCCGAGAAGCTAGAACCCTCTTCCAGAAACAGATGGAAGCAGATGCAGAAATCCACAACTAATCAATGGGCCAAACTCCTGGAGCACAACTGAAGTGAGGGGGGAGCGATAATATGAACAAAGGAGTCAAGACCATGATGGGGAAACCCGCAGAATCAGCTGACCTGAGCTAGGGAGAGATCACTGACTCAGATCTGACAAATGGGGAACCTGCATAAGACTGAACTAGACTCCCTTAATATAGGTGACAATGGTGTGACTGGGACAGTACATGAGGTCACTGGCAGTGGGTCCAGGATCTAACACTAATGTACAAACTGACTTAGTGGAGCCCATTCTATATGGAGAGACACCTTGCCCAGCCCTGACACAGGGGTGTGGGGGTGGAGAGGTGCCTTGGTCCTGCCTCAAGGAGATGATGGGGCAGACTCAGTAGACTTCCTAGGGGAGGCCTTACCCTCTCCAAGGAGCAGACAGAGGTGAGGGGAGTGGGGGAATGGGAAGGAGGGAGGGTGAACTGGGATTGGAATGATAAAAATAAATTTTAAAAAACTAAAATTAAAAAACAGATGACTGTTGTGTGGGGGCCCCTGCTCACCAGAGGCTACACCAGCTACTTTAGTAACAGAAGCGCAAGGTAAGGGCCACAGCTGCAATAATGATTACTTGCCATTTAGCAAGAGTCAATAGCAAATTAACAGAAAGCCATTTTTGGAGGCAGGACTTTAAGAAACTCAGAATCAAATGTAGCCAAGAAGGACTTGGGAACTTGTGGTCACCCTGTCCCCGCCTCCCCCAGTGCTGGGACCATGGGTGTGCACCACTATGCCCCATTTACACGGTGGGATTCTGCGCATGTCAGACAGGCACTTCAACGGAGCCACACCCCTCTCAAAACTAACCTTTTTGACTGAACAGTCTCTTTCAGCTGGTTTCCAGTGATCTTTTGGTAAATTGCTGAATGGGTCTCTAATAGATTAATGTGCACTAGACATATACTTGAAGTTATTTCCAAAAAAGTACTGAACTAATGAATCCCTGAGCGTAAAAGCTCTCCACTGATCTGTGATACAATTTTTTTTTAACCTGGACACCCTCCTTTCTAACGGAATTAGCCATTTTTTGAAGTGCGGTTCCAGGGGTCTCTTAAACTGAAACACAGAACGTGGGGAATGTGGGAATCTCCACCATCCCAGAGGGCATTTATAAAAAGAGCAATCGAGCTAAAGTCACATCTAGACACTTTGAGACATCTAGACTTTTGAGACTTCTGCTGCCATTTGGTCATTCACACGATGGTGATGAAACCTGACTTAACACTTACACGAGGCTTCTTCATTCAATTCGGACCATTGTTCCAGAGGTACAGGGAGGGAAGACACGAATGAGATCAACGTTTTGTTTGTTTGGAGGTTTTTGGGTTGTTTTGGTTTTTTTTCGAGGCAGGGTTTTCAAATCAACTTTTAAGAGTGGCTGATCTCCAGAGAGCTCTCAGTGCTACGCAGTAGAGAAAACCATAATTTTCTACCCCAAATAGAACGGTCACCGCGGCCTATGCACAGTAAGAACATAAGTCCACCTACAACGGCGATATGCGGAGCTGAAGGTTTCTGAAGATTTTTCAAAATCAAATGAAAACTCCCTCTCCTAAATCAAGCAGCCCTGACCGCAGAGGTGGCTTGGAAGGCCGTCTCCTGAAAAAGCTCCCGCGATTCCAAGCATGACTTAAGGGGGAAAAAATCGGAAATGTGGCCAACTTAGTAATCAATCCAAGCTGCTTCGGAGTTCACCGGGAGGAGCCATCATCCGAACCAGCGTTCGACTAGAAAAGCGCCCGTCAGAGCGGAGTCGGACGTGCAGCTAAAGTAGCTTCCGATCTGGGCCGTGCTCCGAGGAAGCCTTACAAGGCAAGCTGTAAATTCAGGGATTAAGAATCCGGCAAACTTCACGCCGAGAGTCGCCGCAGCTCGGTGCGCGCTGGGCATCCTCCTCGATGGAGGACGCGGGCAGCCCGGGCGCAAACACGGCGCCGCCCGCCCCGCCCGGCTCGCGAATAGCGGAGCGCGGCCTGGGCCCGCAGCCGTGGCGCCCACACCGGGGTCCCGCACGCCGAGCCCTCCGGACCCCCGGCCCGGGAGCGCGCAGCCCCGCGTCCGCGGCCCCCGCCACCCGGCCACGTCCCGGCGCGCACCCGCCGCCGGGGCCACCCCCGCTCAGCCGCGGGCCCGGAGCTCCAGGAGGCTGCGCCGCCGCTCGCCCTCCTTCCCGCCGCCCCTGCTACTCACGTGCCAGATGGCGAAGAAGATGAGCGCGGCGGTGAGCAGCAGCGCCAGCATATAGCAGAAGGCCGCGAAAGTGAACGCCATGGCCGGGGAGGAGCTGCCGGGCGCGCCGGGGCCAGCGGAGAAAGGCGGCGCACGGCCCTCTGGGTAAAACCATTCACTTCCCCCGGCCTCAGCCTCCGCCGCCGCCGCGGCCTCCGCCCGGCGCGCCTGCGCACAGGGTCGCCCGCGCGAGCGCCCCTGATGGCCGGAGTCTGCGCAGCACGTCTGTTGTCAGCCGGCGCAGTCGACTGAATTTACTCTTTGCAAGTAGTCACTGAATGAATGCCTAGTTTGTCCCAGAGACCGTTCTTCTGCTTGAGATGCAAAAGTAAATTAAAAAGTGCCTGTATGGAAAGGATTTAATCTACTCCCAGAAACGAGCGACTAAATAATAGTGTTATAACCTGTGAGCAGGTATCTGGGCGTGCTATGAAAGGTCAACGAAAGGCGTCCATCCCTCCTCCAAGTGCCTATCCCTCCCTCCTCGAAGCTAATCTGAGGCTTATATGATAAGTCCATGCAATGAGAAGGCAGCGCTAGTAATACGGGAAAATGGTTGGAATGAACAAAGGCCGAGACGGAAAAAGGAAAGGAAAAGCTTGTGTCTTGGGTGCAACTAGCAACGGATCTGTTTGTGGAAGTTGGGTGGAAGAGTGCTGGGAGGTCATAGACACCAAAAATGTTCTGTGCAAGAGCTCAGGTTACACCCAGACCCCCGGGGTTTTCAAACGGTCTTGCTTATCAGAGGGTCTCAAAGATTTTGTTTTTCTCATTGCAACCCTGTGGCATCATAAAGACTACGAATTAGAAAGCCAGAAGAGAAAAATAAACAAAACCAAAATAAAATTTCTACAGAACAGCACTTGTTTCACTTTTAATGGGGGGATACAACCCATAAAAGCAATTTGCCACCTACCAGCTGCTGCTGATGGAATTGAAGACTTCTAAGCAAGAAAGACGATGCTAATTTTACATTGAAATGTAGAACGGTTTAGAAGGTGTATCCAGTCTGTCTGAGAGACTTTTGCAGTGGTAGACATTCACTCCACTGGAACCCATACAACAGCCACTGGCTACTTGTAGATACAAAGCGGCTAAGATGGGCAAGGAATTGGACTTTAGATTTTGCATCATTTTAATCAATTACAAAGCATTCTAAAGTTACGCTTATTTATTTATTATTTATTGTGTGAGCGCACACCCACCGGTCTGTGGTGAGTGGAGGAAGCCCTGGGTGAAAGTGTACTCTTGACATGGGCACAGCCGTGTCAAGGACCCCAAAGCCTCAGATCCACAGGAAAAGGCAAACCCTCCCACACCTCCAGGCTCAGGGAAATGGCAAAACCTTTCTCTGGTCTGCATGAGGATGTACTCCCACCGAGATTTACTACACCTGCCTCCTTGTCCAGCTGTATGCAATAAACCTTCTCCCTGTTCATTGTCCATAATAAACACCTAAGCTTCCAGAAGTTGTGCTTTCTCCATCCAAGGGCCCAGTCTGCCTGAGCCAGCTGTTCCTTGCAGCACGAATTCTATTTGTTCCTGATAATAAAATCTCAGAGTCAGATATTGGCATTAATGCTGAAGATCAGAGGAGCAAAGCGGCCAGTCACTAGAGAGTTCTCTCCTCTACCGATGCTCAGACCGAAAGGAGGCGATCCTGTCCTCAGACTGAGTCCTCAGACTTCACTGTTCCTCAGACTGCATCTCCTACCTTATAATCCTTTCTCCGCCCAGCCATGTCACTCCTGTCTCCACTTCCTTGGTGCTAGGATTAAAGACGTGTCCACTCCAAATGCTGGAATCACCTCTATGTGAGCTCCATTTCTCTTTTAGATTGGGTCAATCTCGTGTAGCCCAGGGTGGCCTCGAACTCACAGAGATCTGCCTGCCTCTGCCTCCCGAGTGCTGGGATTAAAGGTGTGCGCCCCCACTGCCTGGCCTCTATGGCTGACCAGTGTGGCTAGCTCTGCATTCTGATCTTCAGGCAAGGTTTGTTTGTTAGATCATAGATAAAATACCACCACAGCTCCTGGGTGTGTATATCTATCTGTCTTTATTAATTCACTCGACACCCCAATAAGGTCCATTCCTGGAGGCCAAACAATGACGAGGCATAGGTTAGTGAACAAGTTGCAGGAATCCGTTCTACCGTGTGGCTCCCAAGGATGGCGCTCAGGTGGCCAGGGCTAGCCAAATGCCTTTACCCACTGCGCCAACTCTCCAGCCTTCAGCTGAATGTCAGATAGCTGCATGTGGCTGAGGCACCAGACAGTGAAGGTCTGCATGACCAGGATGATATGGCAGGAGCAAAGTGCGCTTTCCAGACAGACAGAGGCCCACTCCGGGTCTGGGGATCTGATACCCTCTTCTGGCCTCCACCGGAACTGCACATACATAGTACACAGAGGCAAAACACCCATCCACATAGCATTAAAACCTTTAAAGTAGCTCCTCAGCCACACTCGTCGTATTGCTAGCACTCAGTGTCCTCATATGACTCGTGCCTGAGCTACCTTGAGTACAGGATACATCTACGATCACAAAAATATCCTCATGAACACACTGTGTGGAGTATCTCGCAGCTGTAAAAACTGCTGCAGAGCACGCTGCAGAGCACGCTGCAGAGCACGCCCACTTTAACGAGGGCAAAGCGCCAATAAAAGCAACCAACCACACAAGGCAGTGCATAAGGGAAATAATCAGTCTACCTGACGATTCAGAGGGCCGTTACCAACAGTGAACAGTCTGTGCCCTGTGTCCAAATAGCTCCCAGTATTACCTGGGATTTACATTAACTCTCTCAGAACACAAGAGCGTTTGTAGTACACACTGGGTTCCTGATCCTACTGTACAGAGAGATGGAGCTGAATGCTTACTGGTTTATGCACTCTTTCCATCTCTCTTCCTCCTTGGCTCAAACTGTCTTCCCATCAGTTGGCCTCCACATGCCCCATTGATCAGGCCCTCCAGCACATATAACCAGACGCTGTCAGTCAGGCACTGATGACCTAGAAGGTAAATCCTACAAAGTATCTAGTCTCAGAAAAAGACCAGAAGCAGTTCCGATGCACACCTGAAGAAACGTCTCTGTCCCAGACTAGGTAATGCTGGTATACAGGATGAGAGGGAGGTGCTAAGCTATTTTAAAGGGCTGCATAGGGCCTCAGCAGGAACCAGCACCATCTTGTCCAAACCTAGGGAGTCTCTTCGCAGCCCAACTTGGTTTTGCTTTCTTTCCTTTTCATCACCTGCCCACGGGCACTGCCAACTGGCAGCAGGGTACACTTCGCCCATTGTTCTTCCAGGTGGGAGACAGCTTGGTATTCTGGTCAGCACCAAGTCCAGTCCACACCAAGGGGACAATCCTCCTTTGGTTCAGGAGGCTCTGAAGTCCGTCATCCTCTGCCAGGAGAGGCAGGAGTAGGACATTTAAAGGTTGGGTGGTAACAGGAAAGTAACAGAGTCTTGGACTGATCTGAATTTACCTCCACTCAACTCCAGGACCCCCATAGAGCTAGAACAATGTGGGGAGGGGGGGTGAATGTCATCTCAAGTTATGCAATGCTTTGGGAGGTGTCTTAGTTAGGGTTTCCGTTGCTGTGAAAAGACACCATGACCACAGCAACTCTTAGAAAGGAAAACATTTCATTGGAGCTCACTTATAGTTTCAGAGGTTTAGTCCATTATCATGATCAGAAAGCATGGCAGTGTGCAAGCCGACTTGGTGCTGGAGAAGGAGTTGAGAGGTCCATGTCTGGATCAGCAGGAAGTGAACTGACTTGAGTCTCTGAGACCTGGAAGCCCACCCCCTAGTCATGCACTGCCTCCAACAAAGCCACACCTACCCCAAGGCCACACCTTCTAATAGTACCACTTCCTATAGGCCAACGGGGGCCATTTTCTTTCAAGCCACCCCAGGAGGACAGAGAACCACTCCTTCTGTAAGGATCCTCCAAGCACAAAGAGGACAACTGTAGGACAACAACAGTTCCCAGTCTGCTTTAAGAAGTTTGTGTATTTGGAGAATAGTAATCTTACCTAGAAATTGTGAGTGGCTGTGGGTAACACAGGAAGCCACACATGTTCCCAAGACATAAACCTTGAGGAGAACAGCTAGGAAATTGGGGAAACTAAGACAGGTAACAGGAAGTATGGGTAACCGCTAGTCTACTGTTATGGTGTGGACATTAAGTGTCCCCTGAGAAGGCTTCTGTGTTAAGGGTTTGATTCCCGATCTAGCAGTGTTCAGACGCAGGGCTTTGGGGGAAGTGATGCCTCAATGGATTCCTTGATGGAGTCATAGTGAGGTGGCCTTCTTGGAGGTGGTAGAGAGCAGGAAGTGGGGCGTAGCTCGATGGAGTAGGTCACAGGCTGTGTACAGAGGTCTGAATGGGAATGGCCCCCGTAGGCTCACATGCTTGAATGCTCGGTCCCTAGAGCAGAACTGTTTTGGAGGATTCAAAGGGAGCCTTGTTTTTTGTTTTGTTTTGTTTTT